AATGAGGGTTAGGGTTAGGGTTAGGGCTGCAATTAGGGTTAGGGTTGCAGCCAGGGTTAGGGTTAGGGTTGGGGAGGAAAACCCATTGGAGATCAAGATATTCTTGAATAACTTTTGTTCTGAGGGTCATAGAGATTTTGAAGTTGGTTCTATCTAAACTAATGTGGGGATGCCCGATCCATTGGTACCATCCCATAGCTTCTACAGCCTTCGGAAATGGTGAAACCACCAAATCAAAAAAAAAAGTACACGATATTTTTGAATAACTTTTTTTCTGAAAGTCATAGAGACTTGGGCATTTTAGGATTAATAAAGGGTAACCTGCCACACAACCACACCCAATTTCAGCATGTGTCGAGTTTGGTTTTTGGGTTGTGATTAGGGTTATGGTCAGGGTTAGGGTTAGGGTTAGGGTCGGGCTGTGTTTGAAGTTGTGTTTAGGGTTAGGGTTGTTTTTAAAGTTGTATTTAGGGTTGTGTTTAGGGATAGGGTTGTTTTTAGGGTTAGGGTTTATGTTTGGTTTAAGTTTAGGGTTGACTGGTTGGCTGCTGACCAAGGGTTAGGGTCAATTGCAAAGCTGCCTCACTTCAATACAGGCATAAGCATATGAACCCTTCAAAACAGCATATTTTTAAAACCAAACAGTTCATGTCAGAGTCACTTCAGTTGATATTTTGGACAATAAGCCTCTGTCTCATTTCAATATATTTTGACGTCAGCTTGGCCCACCTTGAACTGACACGTCCAGTGTATGTCCAGTGGAGAAAAGCTTAAAATTAGTCCTGTTATCCGTCTCATCTGGATAAACTGGGTTTTAGAAAAGAAAAGTACAAACACAGAGTTGCAAACACTTGATTCATTATTTATTTCAAAATTTAAACAAAGCAGGTAGGGACACGATGATGAATTGATACATTTTTAGATTTGTGAAAACACAATCAGATGCATGGATAATCCAGTAAGTAGCTGATTGCAATCTGTGAAATAAAAACCTGAAAAACTGATCAGGTGGAAGAAGTAATCAGATTATGAGATATTCTGGTCTCACTACAAAGAGGTAGGTGAGCTGGTCATGGGGACAGGGGTAGGCAAGCGTACTGTTTTCAGCGACATGAGCCAGGTTGTCCTTGAAGTCCTGCACCTGACAGATGTACTTGCCTTGGCACAGCAGCAGCAGCTGGTTATGAAAGAGGATTTTCTCCTGGTCGTAGTAGCTGTGTGGATACAGCCTTGTCATAGGGAGCGACTTGCAGTGGAGCCCTCGGTTTGAACATTCATATTGATGGGTGAAGAGAGTTGCCTCCCAGTGAATCGTGCTGTCCTTAAAGATCACGCTGTTGTGGAGAGGTGTGTTGAACGACTTGCTTTTGGATTGACCAGGGGCGGAGCTAATAGAAATGCTCCATGGCTCGGCGTTGTAGAGCCTCGGCTGGTACTCATCATCGTCTCTGTTGAACTGTGGGTTGGACAACATTTTGCTGAAGAGGAGAACATTAAACTTAAATGCTTTCAACATGTTATCTTGATACAGTCTCTTATGAGTGCCGAAAAGAGAAGAGTTGGACTCAAGCTCATACAGTTTCTCCACAGGGATCATGGGGAAACGAATGTGATTCAACAGGTCAGCCTGGGTGTCCAAACTGATGGAGTTGTCTTGCTCTTCGATCCAGCTCTCTACTGTCTGGAGCAGAAAATACTCATCTGGAACCACCAGGTCTGAGCGGGCTAAGATGGCTCTGATGAGCTCCACGGACAGGTCGGCCCAGGCTGGAGATCTCGTCAGGTTTTCATAGTTCCAGGCCAGGTACTGGATGCAGTTCTCCTGAAGAACCAGGTCCTCGGTCTCCTGTGCGTATTTGTAAATGGACACCTGAGTGTGAAACAGTGGGTCCTCTGGAAGGACTTTGGAGAAAAGCCGGGCCGCGCCCTCCATCAGCTGCTTTACCCCAAATCTAGAGGCCATCCAGTGGAGGCACTGCACAGAGGACAAGGTCACATCTATCTTGCGGGTGTAAATGTACCTATTGAGAGGAAAAGTATAGAATATGTATTAGAATTTTGAAGGACTTCTGAATGTTAAAGCAATACAAATCCTCTTAGTTTAAATATACCTAATGAAGGAGGTGAAATAGGGTTGGCAGGGTTGGCTGATGTCGACAGTAATGTTAGAAATCTCCTCTGAAGCATTAAAGAAAGGAAATTGCGAAAGGATTATTTTGTGTGCACAGATCGTTGTTTCCACCGTCTCCAGAGTCCCTTCCTCTTGTCTGTTTCCAGTGGCGCTCTTGACCAAGATCAGGAAGTCACAGCCGTTTTCACTGTCAAATATTTTTCCGAGGTCATCAGAAAGACTGAAACCGTGGTCCAGCAAGTGTCTAGAATCACCGGTGGGGGAATCAGTGCCTGGAATCACAAATCATTGGGATGAAGATTTGAGTGAAGATGAGCATGAAGAGCTGAGATCAGACATTATCTATTTTTGCTGAATCAGAGCTGTAGAAGTTTCTCCACCTACTTTCTGTTTCACAAATGATTCCAACATCCTCTTTGTGGGAGCAGTCAGTTACTCCCCAGCCTTTGAAACCACAAGTAAACAGATGATTCTCTGTGCCTTCACAGTTGATATCATCCAGCCAGATGGGTCCAGTCACTGTGCGATGTGAAATTAAAGAGAATACATTTGTTACTTGTTATGACAACAAACAGCACATACAGAGGGCCTCAAATAACAATTCCTCACTCATAACAATAATTTCACTGCCCTCTGGTGGCAGATGAATGGAAGTAAAGGGCACCTTCTCCATAGTCCTTGCCGATGACAACTGACTTTGCCCCGAAAAAGCGGAGCTGACGACACACCACCTGGGCCTCAGCCATGTCCCAGCCGTCGTCACACACTGTTCCCCATTTGCCTTCATGGAAGACCTCCACGCGGCCCTCCGAATTGCTCTGAGAGCCAAACAGTCTCAGGTCACCTTCCTGGGGCTCCGCCTTCCTCTCTGTGTGCAAGGACAGGTCATATTCACTAAGGCCCCAAGGTCTCAAATGAGCAAGGTCTAAATATGCAGAAGTGCTTAATGTGGGCCTTGCAGAATATAATCAGTATTAGCCTTGTTTCATCATTAATTTACTTGTTTTATACAAATGAGGATGAGGTGTATGAGGTGACTCACTGTGAAGGTTGAATCTGAATGCACTTCCGGTGACATGGGGAAGAAGCAGAATCCACAGAGTGCATATGTTTCGAAGCATCAGCATTTTTACCCACAGCTGCAAGACTCTGATAGATAGATAGATGACAAAAAGGATATGCTCTCATTTCTGTCCTTAACATTTTAAAATTATTATTTTGCTTCATGGTTGTGTGGTGCAGGGCTTATAGAATTCGTTTTTGTAATTGTGATGGCCGCAGCAGCAGCCACACACTGTACCTCGGCACCATGGTGGTAGCCTTTCTTTCCTCTGTTTAATTTGCTTTAGGTTTTCTTTTCTTAAAATGCATATACACAGGAAGCAGATAATAGACAATAACTGGACACAAATTAATTAGCAGATTTTATAGGTTATTTATCTGGAGTAGCTTTTGCCCACTTTGCTGTATTTGTCAATTTATTTTTAGAGTTTTCAGTTCCTGGGGAAGTCGTCTGGCTGGGCCATCAACAGGAGGTCCAGCTAAATTACACAGGCTTCAATAGTCTTCTTTACCAATTGGACTGCACCATGTTCCTCATAATGATTGGGAGAGACATTGTTTTGTTATTTTGATTTTTGGTTGTTAACCTTTTGACTACGGTTATGATATTGATGTTTGATTATTGTTCATTAGTTAATATAAGATAGCATTATACCGGCATGTTTTGTGGTTGTTTAAATGTCTTAATCTACCCCCCGTTTGAATGGCCTGATCAGCCACTATATATAGATATATTGAGGTCAGTTTGTGCTGTTCTCTTCAGTTCTGTCAGGTTGACTTTTTTTTTACCCAAATTTATTGTAAGATTATTTTTGCTTTTTGTAAATACATTTTTTTTTTTTTTTCATAAAGCAGCTTTGTTTCTCGTCTTCCTGCTTTGTCCCTGACAATAGTAATATATAGGAATTATGACAAACAATAATAATAATGATTCATCAAATATTTATCTGATATCATAATAAGTGCATTGTTAACATACCGATTCTTTTAAATAGCAGTTATCGTCATTGTGACACCCTCATGTGCATGGAATTATTAGGTGAAGTTTAGAAGAAAAACCCTTAGATATTAAGAATCCACATTACCTTCTTCTTCTTCTTCTCCTCAGCTGTCTTGTTTAAAGTGTGTGGTACAAGCATCAACTCTTTATGTCCTTCTAAAAACAAGGGGGGTTAGAGCTCCACTTCTCCAATTCTGCTGTTTTCCCTAAGTTTCATTTCCCCCCCAAAAAAACAAGGTGTTGCAAAACTGTTCTTTTGTCCAAACGAAACCGAACACTGTCTGACCTTGATTTAACCAGTCATGTAGCAAGAAGATCCAAAATATGTATTATATAACAAGAACTCAGAAAAGAGGAATCAAGATTTTACTCATTTAGCACACCTCCCCGACAAAAAACACATTGATACAATATAATTAAATTTTTTCCCACAACGAAATCCTTCAAAAAATTTTTTTTACGAAGAATAAAAACAGGCTTTCAGTGATTCCCCCTGATGATATTAATGTTTGGTGTGTACAGAGTGATGCAGTTTGACATGGAGCAAAGGGGAAACGACCTTTGACCTTTTGAGAGTGTACAGTATGTGCATGAAAATGTATACTAATCACAGTCTGATAAATCAATCGTTAGTACATTCATTATAAGAAAGGCTACAGTACTGTTGAGGAAGGAGATGATGCACAATGAGAAATGCTGGTATTGTCAGTTCTGACACTTTCTCTTAGCCACGGTGGGACCACGCTTCACAGTCTCAGCCCACATGTTCTCCTGCTCGTACTGAAGAGGATCCTTTAAGGGCCTGACTTGTGTCTTTTGCAAACTTAATGAGGAAGCAGCGAGTGCATTAACTTCAACAGTGACTGGCTTGTAAACAAAATAGAACTACAGTGCAGTGGCCTCAAGAGCAAGTCTCCGAGTCCCGTTATATGAATTCCAAGCCTTCATACTTCACGTCGCCAATCTTGGTTTCAGGTAAAAGGATGTGGCCGTCAAGCGTGAAGGCCATGATGTACGTGGCTACCTTTTCAGCATCCTCCTCCGACTTGAGTGCCAGAATGATCTGGTCATCTGTGTTGGGGACAAACTTGAAGGAGGAGAAACCGTGAGTGGGGTTGAGAGGACCCACTCGAGCCACGACGATGTCTTTGAAATCTGGCGAGCAGCTGAGGGCAAGGTTCGTGGCGCGACGCTCGTCCGCCGTCTCTTCGTAGCGGTCTGTGCTGGCGCGGCGGGGGAGGAAAAACCAGCGCTGCAGGTTGTCGCTCCACGCTGCTGACTCGTGGATAAGATAACCTGCAGAGATTAAGTGAAGAGTAAAGCATAGATAAGAAAGAGAAGCAAATGTGCATTACACCAGATTTACATTAATTTACCTGGAGGCTCTATCCCTGCAGCGGACTTCAGAGATTTGTACCTGGGGACCCAGTTCTCGTGTTGCACGTCCCCTCTGAAGCCAACTACTTTTACCCATTCCGGGTTGTTGTTGACAAACACGCCCTCAGTCGTGGTCCACTCCTTCCCCAGACCACCAACGTACAGGTGCTCGTCTTTCACTGCCAGCCACTCAGCTTTGAACCCTATCAGGGGAAAGTAACAGCACCAATACGTTAATGTAAAAATACTCTATCATTATCATTATTGTCTGTGTTGTTGCGGCCTCAGAGCCAGGCGTAACAATCCCCCAGATATGTGAAACATGCTCCCAGAGAACAAATCTCAGTTCTTTTAATGTAATACTGACAACTCTCCTGTTTGTCACTGCTTTTAAATACTAACTATTTTTTTAACACTGTACTATTACTGCCATTTTTATAATTGTTATTTATTTATTTTTTCTATGCCACAGTTTTTAATTTAATTCTAAAAGCTTTTTTTCTTTTGTCTTATGTGGCTTTTAGAATTGATCACACTGACTTATGCATATTTGACGTGGAGCACTTTGATTTTTATAATAAATAATATTGGCAAACGGTTAACTATTGTTTAACTAAATTAAATTTAAAAACAGCATTTTGGCACCGTATCAGTTTTAGTATTAAAATACTAAACATACTAACATGCCTGAAAATACCTATCACATGACCACTACACTGGGCAGTGTGTGCCGGTGTAAACATTTACTCAGACAACAGCTTGTCTCTTACAGAAGAATTTAACTACATAACAGCTGATTGCAAAGACGACAGGGTCAGCAACGCTTGTCATTAATTTTCCATGTGGCGTCATGTGGTAGGAGTCTGACGAATGAGTCACATGACTCATGACTGAAAAGACCCAATCAGCAAGGTGTCATAAAAGGGAAGTAGTGTGGCGTATCTAGGTTACGGTAGCTAATGCCTTTTCAAACTAAAATGTCTGAATGTCGCCTTCTCCTTTGTGGGCCTGGAAGAGTTATGTAAATCAAACTATCTTCAAGGGAAATCTCTCATACAACTCATCAACATCTGAAACATGACATCAATCTCTAACCTGACACTTTGGTTTAGTGAGAAATCAGTGGAGAACACTGATTTAGACAAATAAGTCTAAATCAGTGTAGTGCAGTTTAAAATTAAAGTAGAAATATTTGCAAGTGTTACATTACAAGTACAGAACTTAAGTACTTCGCTACTTTCCACCAGGGTATTCAGTCAGGTTCTGAATAACATAATCGTAGCATACATGCTGACCTTTGGCAACGCTGCCATCGCCATCAGGTAAGATGACCCAGGGCACAGCTTTGTCCCCGTCAATGTGGTAGACCACGCCCGTTCTGTCATCTACGCTGTACAGCTTCCCGTTGAACACCACCAGCTCAGACAGCTCCATACCCCTGCCTTTCTCCGACAGGTGGCTTTCCAGCACCACCTTGTCCGTGTCCCAATCAATATCCACCTTGTCGCCACTCTTTGACACCAGCAGGTACCCCCGCAGCATGTAGCTGAACCACGTCAGCTTCTTGTCACTACGAGAGTTTGTGTCCAGGTCAGCGATGACCCCGATGCGGTAGCGCGTGCCCTGCGGTGTGCGCTCAGGCAGACTGAGAGGGTAGGTGTCATTATAATGGCCATCGGACTGCCGGGTGTCACCGTGGGCGGCTCGCCAGCTTTGTGAGTTGTTGGGGCGGGAGCGAAAGCCTGAGCTCAAGTGCATGAAGAGCAGCAGGAGTAAAGAGAGGGCGAAAGCCACGGCCACGATGGACTTCCACTTGAGGCGGAAACGAGGGTCAGTGGTGTTGGCCATAGAAGCCAGAACGGGGAGGCCTCCTACGGAGATGTGCAAGGAGTTCATGGGCTCATTCTGCTCCAGTCGGGTGTAGCCTGGGGGGGCACGCATGGAAGACAGAGGTCTGGAGTGACCTAAAGAAAATAAGAGAAAGACAGATGATGAGTTATAACCCACTTGCAGACCACTAAAGAGACGACGAGTTACGGCCTCATCTGTGGTGTTCACTCATTCAAAGTTTGACTAAAACTTCTTTCAGACACACACTGAACTGGAGTCAGTTGCTATGGGTCTTTCTCGGGAGATTTTCCTGCTAGCCCTCTAGTAACATCTCCAGAGAATGTCCATGTGAGGAATAAGTCGGGAGAATTCACCATTGCAATGACGTTTCTAACATGTGACGGATGCAAAACAAATGATGATTCAAACTTCTCCAGATAAAAAAGAGAAACAGTACACGTAAATGACGCCAAAGAAAATGTAAACTTGGAAAGATGACAAGGTTCGGGAGCTTTTGATGATAAGGGCCGACTCCAGTGTCGATGTGCTGCAAACAAAATCACTTGCGCTCTACAGCAGAATTTATACGTCATGTCCTGCCTCTACGCTCCACTAAGGCGTCCACCCCTCGCCTGAACGCTACGGAGATTTTCCTGCTGCAATCTTCATATGTGATGGACCAGACCCATTTGTCCAAACATTATCGGAGTTCATGCCTTAAAACTGCTCAAGTGGCCGATCTACGGATTACAGTTTATACTAAAGGTCCCACAGTAATTCTACAAGTAGGAAGAGCTAGTATCTAAACAGTATAACCTTTTCCAAACCTTTTTAAAAAAGCTAATGTCACATATTGTTCCTTTCAAAGCCTCTTCCACAGTAAAACTACATTATGTAACTGTAGCTGCTGTCGTCTCAAGGATGATCGTAAATGGCAAAAATATTTACTTTTGTTAAAATGTGTTAAGATTGTCTAAGATTTTAGCAGCCGAAGAATAATGTGGACATCAGGTAAAGGAAGGATGTGATAGCAGTAACCGCCTCCATGTACCGGACTGAGTATTGGTGTGTTTGACTCCTTATGGATGTAATGTTTCACTTCTAAAAGCAAGAAAGTATGATGTCTTCTTTTAAAAGTCACAGTCTAGGTTTTCACTTTTTTGGTCTAAAAATTCCTTAATCCTGCTGATGAGAACTGAAGAAAAATTTTCTTATAAAGTAAATAAGCTTCCTTTAAAGCACAACATCTGTCATATTTAGAAAATAAACCTAATCTTACTCACCTACTCTCCATCCGGGTTCACCTGAAATGAAATCTATTCTCGTGACCACAGGCAGATCAGAATTCACAGCTATATTTTACACGTCGCTAAGTAGTTCCTGGTAGGCGCTGACCCAAGAGTGTTAGCAGGGTTAAACATTACACGTGGAGAAGAAAGAAGTCTCAGGTTGAGTGAATATCATATGGCCTCTGGAGAAGCTTGTCAACGTGGAGGCTGGGAGGGGCGAGCTCAGTAACAATGAACTGGTAAACAGGTGGAACAGGAAATACATGGTGATAATACAGATGGCTGATGTGGCCTCAACAGTCACAAATCACGAAGAAGAATTTGTGATCAAACTAAAATGTTGAAGTTCAGCTTATCATTAAAGTCATTAATTTAGTAAAAAAAAACAGCTTCTCTACTCTTTTTAATATGTTTGAAATAATACTGATGATAATAAAAAATAATCTTTAGATTAATCAATAATGGAAATATTAGTTAGTTGGAAGAACGTTTTGGAGGCTGATGCTGATTTTAAGGAGTAAAAAGTGATTCCTCCCATAACAATTTCAAACCCTAATGACACAGGCCTGATATTTTACAGTTTCACATAAACTTAATTACAAGTAACTATGAATAAAAAGAAAAAAAACTGATACAAGCAAACATATTGAACA